GAACTGCAGGATGTGCTTAATGACCTTGAGCTGGAGCCTTCACTCTCCTGCTCCTGCCTGGCCTCTGCAGAAACTGCAAAGCAGAGATCAGAAGGCCCTAGGGACAGAGGGCAGCCCCAGGTCACTAAGAGGATCCTGCTAAGCATGAAATCAAGCCCAAGACCCAGTGACTCCCTGCTCAGCTAACGAGAATCGGGCCTCTTTTCTTTATACCTTGTTTAAATATTTAAGGTCTTCAATTCTAACAGAAACAGCAACAAAAATAAAACGTACAACATGGTTTTATATACTAAGGAATTTCTGCAGCTGTGATGCATGTAAAAGGACAGTGGTAAGGGTATCTTGCTCTTATTTCCTTGTTTACCTTCTCCTGTGTGTTTCTCCAACATGGATTCTCTACCTCTGGGTGGTCCAAGATCTGCAGGGCTTCTCAACTTTCAGGTATAAGCACAAAAGTTCAGCTGGGTGCGGTGGCTCATGCCTGTAATCCCGGGACTTGGGAGGCTGAGATGGGTGGATCACCATGGGCCAACATGGTGAAACCCTGTCTCTATTAAAAATACAAAAATTAGCCAGGCGTGGTGGTGTGTGCCTATAATCCCAGCTACTCAGAAGGCTGAAGCAAGAGAATTGCTTGAACCTGGGAGGCAGAGGTTGAAGTGAGCTGAGATTGTGCCATTGTACTCCAGCCTGGGTGGCAGAGTGAGACTGTGTCTCAAAAAAAAAAAAAAAAAAAGAAGCACAAGAGTTTGGTGTAGTGCAAACACCTCTCACCAAGGAGTCAGAAATCCAGGCACCCAGGGATGAACCAACCCTGTGGTCCTTGCCTTGGAAGAACGGTACTAAACAGGGACTCAGCACTAGGATGGGTTGGGAGCCCCAAGGAGGGAGGCTAGAAAGGTCAGAAAAAGACTTCTGGAGAGGAAACCCTTGAGGCAATAAATAGATTTCAGTCTCCAAGAGCTTGAGAACCCTTTACTCCTACAGATCCTTTATTCCAATTAATGCAATCTTTCCATATTTGGGAGTCTCAAATCACTTTCCATGTCTTGTGAGGGAGGGGGATAATTCCCTTCCAATTTATAAGGGGGGAAATCAGAGAGGAGTTAAAGAAGCATCCAAGGTTTTGTCCTTCAAATTTAAGAATAAGCACAAGGTGGGGCAAGGGGAGGGATGGGGGGGTGGGGGGAGGTTGGGGAGGGATAACATGGGGAGAAATGCCAGATATAGGTGATGGGGGCAGCAAACCACTTTGCCATGTATGTACCTAAGCAATAGTCCTACATGATCTGCACATGTACCCCAGAACCTAAAGATCCAAAAAAAAAAAAGAGAGAGAATACAGCACAAGGTGCCCAACCAAGAAGGGCATTTGAATACACAGCGCAAAGGAAAGACTGGATAGCCTCTGCCCTTGGGGAACTTGTAATGGGGAGATGTGACATACACATGTATGTATATGTCATGTGTATAAAAAGTAATTGTAGAATTTTTGGACAAACAATTCACTTTACCAACTATTCATCCAGTACTTGTTATCTGCAAGGCATTCTTTTTTTTTTTTTTTTTCTTTTTTTGAGACGGAGTTTCGCTCTTGTTACCCAGGCTGGAGTGCAATGGCGCCATCTCGGCTCACCGCAACCTCCGCCTCCTGGGTTCAGGCAATTCTCCTGCCTCAGCCTCCTGAGTAGCTGGGATTACAGGCACACGCCACCATGCCCAGCTAATTTTTTGTAGTTTTAGTAGAGACGGGGTTTCACCATGTTGACCAGGATGGTCTCGATCTCTTGACCTCGTGATCCACCCGCCTCGGCCTCCCAAAGTGCTGGGATTACAGGCGTGAGCCACCGCACCCGGCCAAGGCATTCTTTTATGTGAGACGTGTGAGAAGGGTGGAGAGAGGGAGAACACAGGTCAATAGACATGCTCCCAGCCCTTAGAAACTCGTGGTTTAACTGGCTCCTGTAAGGCGCTGGAGGAACAGTCCATAAAATGTAATACCTGGCCCTGTGAAGATGGGATAGCAGTATAGGAATGGAAGAAAGTCTTGCTGGAAATGAGAATTTAATAGAATTAATTCATCTGGGAAAGATGCCTAAAGGAGGTGGATAGTGTGTGATGCTGGAAAATAGAAAAGACAGAGAAAGAGATGAAGAAAGCGACAATAAGCAAAATCTTTTCACATATAGACTCATCTTTCAGACCCCACTCAGAAGCCACCTCTTCCATGAAGCCTTCCCAGGCAGAAATAGACACTTAGCTCTCCAGGCCCTCAAACCGCCCCATTACAGAACATACCTCACTGCTCTATAATTGGCCTTCTGTCTCTGTGGGTTCTGCATCTGTAAATTCAACCAACTGTACATCAAAATATTTGAAAAAAAATTCATCTGTACTGAACATATACAGACTTTTTTCTTGTCATTCCCTAAACAATACAGTGTAACAACTATTTACGCAGCATTTACATTGCATTCGGTATTACAAGTAATCCAGAGATGATTTAAAGTGTACAGGCTGATAGATGTAGGTTATATGCAAATACTATGCCATTTTATATCAGGGACTTGAGCATCTTCAGATACTGGTATTTAACTGGAGGTGCTCCTGGAATCAATCCCCCCACAGGACGTGGGATATGGAGAGATGGCTGTACTTGTTTCTATATATGCTTATTTCAACCCAAGGACCTTCTATAGTACCAGAACTATAAAGGGGCTGAGTATTATATTCATGGTGAAGTGCCTCCCTTTATTTTTACTTACTTTTTATTTTTACTTTGCTATTATAGAGCCTGGCAAATGGAGAGCCCGAGACATCTTGGAGACATATCTCCAGAGAGATAAAGGGGCTAAGGGTCCTCTCCTTGTACCCGGGCTGTGGGGGTGGAGGAAACCGGAACCCCTTACCCTTTAAACCTAGGCGCTTAGTGTGAGGGAGATGGCAGATTTCTAGGGTTCTCCTTCTAAAGGTCAATGTGATTAAACTCTTGGGGTTCTAATGAAAGCCATGCACAGCTACTTACCAAAGAAGAAATGTATATACAACAAGATTTTGCCTTCTGTTCTGGGAAAAAGAGGGCTGCCGTTAGACCCTCAAAGTATTTTAACTTACACACACAAAAATGCACAAATCTTAAGTGTATAGCCCATAAATTTTTACATATATTTACACCTGTGTAACCACCAACTAGATCAAGCTTCAGAATGCTTCCCGTACCCCCGGCACTGGGGGCTACCTCTTTGTGCCAGGGTCATTGTCACTGTAGCTGGAGGAGCTGAGCCAGTAGCGTGCTGCAGTTGGGAACACCATTTAAGGAAATTATGGAAGGATTTCAGGTGTTTGGACTAGAGAAGCATAATCACTGGGGCAAGGTCATTTGGGGTGTGAAGGACTTACATGGCAGAACAATTAGATTTGTTCTGTGTGGGGCCGTGGGAAGCAGTTATAGGAAGGAACATTTCAATGTAGCCTAAGGCCCTTTCTACAACCAGAGCTCATCCACGCTGCAAGCAGGTCCCCTGGAAATATGCAAAGTCCTCAGCACTAGAGGTGTCAGTCAAGAACAGGACTGAGCTGCTATGGTTCCCGGAGTTCTGTGATTGGCAGAGAAGACTCAGTCAAAAACTGGTGGTTATGATTTGTTTGGTGATTTTTTCCCCCCAAGAGGGTAGCTTTTTAGTTTATTACAATTACTGTGCAGGCCCCCCATCATCACTATTAAATAGGCACTTGTCATTACTCACAGAGTGGTGGGCCACGGGACCCTGGGACTCCCCCATCTCTGGGGCTCACTGTCCAGGGAGGGACAGAGCAGACGCAGGGGTGCTGCTGTGAGATGGGACCAGTACCTGCAAGAGAAGTTGATTGCCCCACCTCATGCCAAGTTGTCTTGGGGACACCTGCCCATGTACCTCCTCAGTCTTTTCAGCCCTGGTCCCCCTGGTGGGCTCGTGGACATGATGTCATGGCTCCTGTCACTAACAGAACATCTGGGCAGAGGTGGCACCACAGGGCCTTACTGTTCTGCCTCCAGGGGCCAGATCCTGGCTCCCTCAGGAGCCATACCACTCAGCCAGCCCAAGGCCACCTAACGAAGGGACAGCCTAGGTCAGCTGCAGGTTCCTCGAACAATACCCAGCCTAGACACTAATCAACCCCCTACCCACTGCCAAGGCTTTATCCCTCGAAGAAAGAATTTTCCCCAGAACTCTTTTATACATGTTTTTTCTAGGAGATGATTTCAGAATTCCTCCCGGGGTTTCTCCAGGACACGGCCCTTCCCTCTCTGCCCTCCTCCAACTAGTTAGAAAGAGAAAGAGAAACAGCACAGATCAGCGTCATCCTCCACCTCCTCGCACCTGGCCAGGGCTGGGATGGGTTGAGGCTGGGACTCTCAGGCCCTCCCAGGGAGTTTAGTGTGGGAAGATGGCAAGTTTCTAGGGTTCTGCTTCTAAAGGGCAACGTGATTAGCCTCTTGGGGTTCTAATGAAAGCCATGCAAGAATACTCTCCCGAGAAGAAACGTATGTACAACAAGATTTTGCCTTCTGTTCCGGGGGAAAAGGGGTGCCGTTAGACCCTCGAGGTCTATCTGGGAAGCACCTAGGTTTAAAGCGTGAGGGGTCCGGGTTTCCTCCACCGCCACAGCCCGGGCGCGGGGAGAGGGCACCTAGCCTCCCTCTGGAGGCACAGGACGTCTCGGGCTCTCCATTTGCCGGGTCCTAAAATGGGCGCTCGCGCCCCTCAGTCCCTGGGGGCTGCATCCGGAGGCTGGTGGGGCGGGCGGGGGGCAGCGCGGCTCCCGGTTGGTCTCCGCAGCCGGGGGAGGGCGAGCATGTGCGCTCGGGTAGGAGGGGGAGGCCGGCGCCTGGCACCGCACAGGGAAGGCGCGGGAGCGGACGCGCTGCCCACCCGCCGCAGAGGCGCCCCCGCCGCCGCCCGGGCCCGAGGGCGGGGCCCCTCGCCGGGGCGGCCCCTCCCCGCCCCTCCCTCCCGGCCGCGGGCCTCCACAGCCCGGCCGGCCCTCCCGCGGGCTGCACTCGGACACCGGGCTCGCCGGGACCAGAGCCGCGAGCCCGCCAGCCGGGGCCATGGGCTGCGACGGCCGCGTGTCGGGGCTGCTCCGCCGCAACCTGCAGCCCACGCTCACCTACTGGAGTGTCTTCTTCAGCTTCGGCCTGTGCATCGCCTTCCTGGGGCCCACGCTGCTGGACCTGCGCTGCCAGACGCACAGCTCGCTGCCCCAGATCTCCTGGGTCTTCTTCTCGCAGCAGCTCTGCCTCCTGCTGGGCAGCGCCCTCGGGGGCGTCTTCAAGAGGACGTGAGTGCCGCGCCCGTGCGCCCCCGCCCCGCGAGCCCCGGCGCCCACCCGCGCCGGGCCGACCCTTCCCTCCGCCCCGCGACCCAGCCTCGGCCCCAGCCCCATGGGGCTGCCCGTCGCCCCCGCCTCCCGGGCCGCGACCACCCCTCCCAGCTCCGCCGGCAGCGCCCCGCCTTGGCCGAAGAGCTGCCTTCCTCCCTCCCCCGCAGCTCTCCCTGGAAAACTCTCTCCAGAGACTGAAGGTGACTTCTGGCTTATTTATTGGTCACCACTCATCCCTGTGAGAGGATAAAACCCGTTTCCACCTGCTTCCCCCACCCACCGCCCCGTGGGGAGAGGAGTGATGGAGTTTGCAGAGGTGTGGAGGGCGCCCCTCTTGCACAGCTCCTCTGGGGTTTGTCAGTAGCCCCAGCTGCCGGGGCGGGGTTGGAAGTGAGGTGGAAGGAAGGTGTGAGGGCCAGCTCTGTGGCGGTGCAGGGTGCCGGAGGTGGCCTGCGGCTTGGCTGATTCCCAGGGCCGGGCTCCGCCGTCGGCAGCTCCAGGTCAGCTAACACAGGCTGTCCCTTCCCCTGGGTAGCCATGGCGTTGGTGGGTCCTGTGTAGCCCTCCTCCTGTGACAGCCAGAATATGGTTTCTGCGTTGGCCCCCGAGACACACAGCACCTCACCATTAAGGCCAGGTAGGGAGGGGCAGGACACTTCACCCATAGCTTGGCAAGGTGACACTCCAGCCCTGGTGCCAAGGTTCCCCTCCACTCCCCACCCACCTCATGCTACTCCTGCTTGGCCTCTGCCCAGGACAGGGCTCTGGACTCTCCCTGGCACTGCCCCCAGAGGTCCCCCTTTGATACCATTGCAGAGCCTCATTCTCTCTGCTTAAATTGGACAGAGCCACCTCCGGGGGCCTTTGCGGAAAGGCAGCAGGATTCACGCTCCCGGTGCAGCGTGGAAAACAGAGACCCATCACAGAATAGGGAATAGATGACCTGCAAGCCGGAGGCTGCTGGGTGAGCCCCCAGCCCCAGCTCCTGGCTGAGTGGTTTCCCAGATCCCATGGACTCAGTCGAGCAAGCAGCTGGCCTGGAGACAAAACTACAGTTGGGCTACCCCAGAGAAACCTCTGGACAGGCCGTTCTGGGCTGTGGTTCTCCCCTTTGGCTCACTCCTAGAGGTGTTCATGAGGGCAGGTGTTTCTATCCGCCTTGCTTCCAGAGCTGGCGGAGGGAACACAGGTGTCAGTCCAGATGAACCCCACTTTATGCCACCCAGGCTTAAAAACATGGTCAATTTTGTAAGTGATTATCCCCATTTTCCCCAAATCCTCTTGTAAACCAAATTATTCTCCTCTTAAAAAGCAAGTCTCCTTGTGTACACCAGTGTTTTGTGGGTGTGGTAGAGGATTGGAATATACAGGAGACTCAGAAAAATCTTAAGAAAAAGCTCAAGATTCATTCTGCCTAGAGGTTTAATTAGAAAAGAAGATAAAGTATCTGTAGCTGGCAGAGGTTTTTTTGGTTTTGCTTAAGTACTTTGACTTACAAAAGCTCTTTTACCTGGAACTTTTAAAGAACATATGTAGTGCAAAAACAGGAAGGGGAATGAGGATAATTCGAAATGACAGGTTGGCAGGGCAGGGCTTGAAGGGCTCTGAAGCCAGCAGAGATGCACACTCACCCAGCTGGGCCATCTCTTCCTGGGTAGCTTTGTGTCTCCCTCAGCGCTGATTACCCAACACAGGACTCTGAACAGGGAGCAGAGAGAGCCCTGCAGCAGGAACTGGCTCACAGAAAAGAAAAAGAATCATGGTAACAATGATAACTCACTTTATTCTGCACTTGCTGTGTGCCAGGCACTATTCATAGTCCTTCACATGTATCAGCGCATTTAATCTTCACAACCACCTTGCAAAGTAGTACTGTTATCTCCATTTTATGCATAAGGAAGTAGGGGCACAGAGAGGTTCAGGAACTCTGCCCACAGCACATGGTTGTTAAGAAGACCATCCAGGAATCGAACACAGGCGTTATCTCTAAGACAGATCCTTAGGCAATACCTCTTGCTTTGTGAATCATCATCGTACACTCTGCAGATCAGGCACAGGTTTGGGATGAGTAGCCCTGAGGATGCTCATGGGCTGGGTATTCCTGAGCTCCAACAACTTCTGGGCATGCAACAGTGGGCCTCTGGGGCTTCCTGCTGGGATCTTTGAGTGGGGGTAGATCCTATCAGTGGTTGAGGTTTAAATTCTGAACCTCCCACCCACCAAGACAAAATGCCATGAAGAGCTCTTTCCTTTGGTTAAGAGCAAAGCAGATATACAGAAGAATGTCCAGGGGTGGCCTTGAGTGTAGGCAACAGCCTCCCACCACCTTGCTGACTCTGGGCAGCTCTCATCACAGTCTCCCATCCCCCCAGACAGAACCTCCACCCTGCAACCAAGCTTTAAAGCTGGGTTCCATGGGACTATGTCTCAGCTAAAATGCAATGGCCTCTCAAGCAAGTGCTTTGCAGCTTAAGTGATTACCAGCTCCACTCTCGCTTGGTTGATGCTTGTGAGTGGGGGATTGCTTTAGCAAATCTGTGAGAGCCAGCTGTTGCGGGGGAGTGGGGGAAAGTTGAGAATGACACATGGGAGAGGAGAGTTGGGGGTAGTGTCTTTCTTGTGGGTTCCTACTCGGTGGGTCCTGCCTACTGCTGGGACCAGACTGAGGGCACAGGCTGAACGGAGCTTCTAGATGCCTCCATAGGGATGTGCGTTGGAAGGACTAGTGTGGAAGGTGGAGAGCCTTGGATATTGGAGTGGGTGGAGGGGAAGACTTGAGCTCAGGGCAGCACCAGCTTACTCACTCTCTCAGAGAAAAACAAAAAGCCACCTGGTTGACAAGGGTGTATAGGTGTGTGCTTTGTCAGGCAGGAAAGGGGAAGGGGTATTTAGATTAAAGGTTAAGATTTTTCCTGGTTTCTTGGGGACCTGTCTAACCGCCCCAGGCAGTTGGGGGACCCCTTTATCTTGGAGGCAGCAGAGTAGGTAAACAACTTTCAGAGCTTCGCCAGCCTTCTCCCAGCCTCACCTTGGCCTCTCCCCTGCCCACGCTCTCTTAACAGAAGGTTTGTCGGAGGGTTTGTTGAGTTCTTCCTCTCTTTGCCCTGTCCACTTTCTCTTTTTCTCCCTTTTTTCCCCTCTCAGATTCCTTCTCATCTGCAGGTCCTACCCTGCCCCAGACCTAGCTATGACTCCCTCCTGGCCACTGCATCATACACCAGTTTCCCAGGCCACCCCCAGACCTGCTGGTCCCTTCTAGTTCCTCGAACACAGCACAAACCAGCTTCTCCCCGTGAGCTGGGCTCTGGTTGGTCTCTCATCCACAAAGCCTCTGTCTCTCCCTGGAGCACTTTGGGTACCTATCAGCATGCAACAAACCTGTGCCAAAAACCTACTGAGAGTCCAGCACTAGACACTGTCCTTGTTTTAAAAATCGGCCCCAACATGGGGCTGTCATATGACCCCAACCCCCAGGTATGTACCCGAAAGAACTGAAAATGTACGTCCACATACTAAACCTGTACGTGAATGTTCATAGCAGCGTTATTCATCCCAGTCAAAAAGTAGAAGCAAACCAAACGTCCATCAACAGACAGATGGACAAACAAAAACATGGCCTATCCAGCCAGGTGTGGCGGTACATACCTGCTTGTCCCAGCTACTTGAGAGACTGAAGTGGGAAGCTTGCTCAAGCCCAGGAGTTCAAAGCCAACCTGGGAAGCATAGTGAGACTCTAGGGTCAAAACAAAACAAAAATGTGGTATATTGGATGGGTGGGCTGGCTCACTCCTGTAATCCCAGCACTTTGGGAGGCTGAGGCAGGTGGATCACCTGAGGTCAGGAGTTCAAGACCAGCCTGGCCAACATGGTGAAACCCTGTCTCTACTAAAAAAAAAATAAATATATATATATATATATATATATATATATATACAAAAATTAGCTGGGCATGGTGGCAGGCATCTGTAATCCCAGCGACTCGGGAGGCTGAGGCGGGAGAATCACTTGAACCTAGGAGGCAGAGGTTGCAGTGAGCTGAGGTTGCGCCATTGCACTCCAGCCTGGGCAACAAGAATGCAAGTCTGTCTCAAAAAAAAGAAAAAGAAAAAGAGTGGTATATCCGTGGAATGGAATATCGCTCAGCCATAAAAAGGAGTGAGATACTGACACATGCTGTACCACGGATGATCTGGAAAACATCATGCTAAGTGAAAGAAGACGGACACAAGAGATCACATATTATATGATTTTATTTATGTAAAAGTCCAGAATAAGGAAATCTGCAGATACAGAAACTAAATTAGTAGTTGCGTAAGGCTAAGGGTAGGATGTGGAGAGGAATGGAGAGTGACTGCTAATGAATATTAGATTTATTTTTTATTTTTTTTAATTTTTTTTGAAACATAGTCATGCTCTGTTGCCCAAGCTGAAATGAGGTGGTGCGACCCTGGCTTACTACAACCTCCACGTCCTGGGTTCAGGCAATTCTCAGGCCTCAGGCCTTCCAAGAAGCTAGGATTACAGATGTGCACTACCACACCCAGCTAATTTTTGTATTTTTAGTAGAGACAGGTTTCACCACGTTGGCCAGGCTAGTCTTTCACTCTTGACATCAAGCAATCCTCCTATCTCAGCCTCCCAAAGTGGTGTGAGCCACTGCACCCGGCCTGGATATAAGATTTCTTTCTGGGGTGACGGAAATGCTCTAAAGGCAGATTGTAGTGATGGTTTTACAACTCCAAATATTCTAAAAACAATTGACTTGTATGCTTAAATATGTGAATTTTATAGTATGTAAATTATATATCAATTTTTTAAGTTAAAAAAAAATCTCAAAGCTAAGTTTGGTGGCTCACACCTGTAATCCCAGCACTTTGGGAGGCCAAGGTGAGACGATCACTTGAGGGCAGGAGTTCAAGACCAGCCTGGGCAGCAAAGTGAGACCTTGTCTCTAAAAA